AAATTTCAGACTCACCTGCTTCATTGGCTTTATGCTTAGCATAACACACACACTCAGGTATGTCTGGTGTCTGTTTGGCCTAAAAGTGACAAAGCACAGGTCCAGCCCATGCATGACAGTGTTCTACTGCTGGGATGAGAAAAAAATGTCTCAGGATAATACTGTGTAAAGTTGAAATGTTCGACCACATTAAACTTTCTCTCTTTACCCTCGTGTTATTTTGACAACAGGCGGAATTTCTCAGATTATCTTTGGGATTTAAATGTGACTGGTTTACATTAGAGAAAAGAGTGAAGCTTGAAGAGAGATCCCGGGACTTGGCAGAAGACAATTTGAAGAAAGAAATCACTAACTGTTTAAAGCTCTTGGAGGTATGAACCAGATTATTCGGAAGCTATACATTTGGTTGTATTTTAATGATGTTCATAATTGCATTTGAGTTTACTTGGATGACTAAAACCAACACTATATGCTAAACCCTGCCAAACAAAATGTGGATAAATAGAATTAAAGATCAGGCCAAAATAAAAGATTCACTAATGGGAGAATATTGGGAATAATATTTAAAAAATACCTTTTTAAATAATATTTWWAAAAATACCTCTTAAAGTAGATTGTACAACTCATCTGCCTTCTCAGGATTTTCAGACAGAAAATAAAATGGGAGATAATATTTTAAGCTTCATAATGGGAAAATCTATTTCCATTTATGATTAACTGAAGAAAAAGTGTCACTTGAGTCTTGTCAGTCAAGTTGCTGTAAAGTACTGAGAGAAGAACGAGGGTATGAGGAAGGATACAATTGTTATCCTTCCATCTCATGAAATTTCCACTAATTTAGAGACAGTTCAGAAATTGAGGRGTTTCATTTTGGGTGAAGAAACTAAAAATTGGGTAATCATAGTAAAAAATTTTTTGTGATAAAAAGTATAAAACATGAAATTTACCATCTTAATTTTAACAGTATATATGTTCAGTAGTGTTGAGTATATTTAAATTGTTACAAAATGGATTGCCAGAAGTTTTTCAGCTTTCAAAACTGAAACCCTACATCCACTGATTCCCATTTTTCTCCTTAACCCACCTCCTTGAAACCACATTTCTACTGTGTCTATGAATTTGACTGTTAGACACCTCATGTAAGTGGACTCATACAATATAAGTATCTGTTAAACTGGTTTATTTTACTTAGCATGATGTCTTGAAGGTTTATCTGTGTTATAACATATGACAGTGTTTCCTTCCTTTAGAAAGCTGAATAATATTCCATTTTATGTATATAACACATTTTGTTTATCCATCCATTCGTGGACATTTGGGTTGCTTCTACCTCTTGCCTATTGCAAAGAGTGCTGTTAGAAACATGGGTGTTCAAATATCTCTTCAATTCTTTCGAGTAATCATCCAAAAGTGGAATTTGCTGGATCATATAGTAATTCTATTTTAACCTTTTGAAACCCCCCCCCCCATACTGTTTGCATAGTGGCTGCTGGTTTTTATATTGTCACCAACTGTATTTTGTCCAAGTCTTCACCAACACTTGTCATTTTCTGATTTTATAATAGGCATCCTCATGGGTGCAAGGTGGTAAATTGTGGGTTTGATTTGCATTTCACTGATGACTAATTATATTGGGCATCTTTTCATATAGCTTGTTGGACATTTGAAAATACTCTGTCCATTTTTAAATCAAGTTATTTAAAGTTATATGAATTCCTTTACAGTTATATCCCTTTAAGTTGCATTCTTAAAATGCCTTTTTACTCTATTAATCTGGTCCTTTGATGCACAAAAGCTTTTAACATAGTTCCATTTGTTTCTCTCTCTTTATATATATACCTTTATTGTCTGTTCTTTTGTTATCCTATCCAAAAAATTGTAGCTCAATTCTATGCTATGAAGCTTTTCCTCTGTGTTTTTTTCCAGAAGTTTTCTAAATTGGATTCTTACTTTTAAGTCTTTTATCAATTTTGAGTTAATTTTTCTATATGGTACAGAGGATGGGTCCAATTTCATACTTTTGCATATGAACAGCCACTTTTCTCAACACTGTTTGTTGAACAGATTTTTTCCCCTTGTGCATTCTTGGTACTTTCTCAAAGACCAATTGACCATATACACAAGAGTTTATTTTCCAGGCTCTCCTGTTTCATTAGTCTTGTATCTGCTCTTTTGGTGATRTACTGAGTCAAGGGTCTCATAAATGTTAGGCATAAGCTCTACCACTGAGATATAAGATATAAGATACTATCAGGCCCACATGTTCCTATTTCTGTGGRAAAAAATGGGATTTTTACTAGAGAAGGTCTTGAATCTGTAGATTGCTCTGGGTAGTATGGATACTTCAAATTAGATCTACTTATCTATGAACACAGGATATCTTTTCATTTATTTGTGTATTTAACTTTTTCAGCCATGTTCTATAGTTTTCAATATACAAGACAAGACTTCTCTCTCCTTGGTTAGGTTTATTCCAAAGTATTATTCCTTTATCATGCTATTGTAAATGGAATTCTTTTTCTTTCTTTTTTTTTTTTTAGTTGTAGATGGACACAATACCTTTATTTTGTGTGGTGCTGAGGATCAAATCCTATAATTTTGCTGAATTTGTTTATTCTAACAGTTTTTTTTTGTGTGTGGAATCATTAGTGTTTTCTACACAAAAGATCATGCCATCTTTGAACAGATATTTTTGCTTTTTCCTTCCTTATTCGGATTTTTTAAAATTTCTTTTTCTTTTTTCTTTCTTTCTTTCTTCCCCCTAGTTGTTCTGGTTATAGCACTGATGTTCTAATATGTTGAATAGAAGTGGTAAGGGTGGGAATCCTTGCCTTATTCCTGATCTGAGAGGAATAGTTTTGTCTTTCTCCACTGAGAATGATGTTCATTGTGGGTTTTTCATGTATGACTTATATTATGTTGAGGTAATTTCCTGTTCCTAGTTTTTTCAATGTGTTTTCTTTAAATCATGAAAGTGTTGAGTCTTATCAAATGCCTTTTCTACATCAATTGAACAAAGCATGATTTTTGTGTTCCTTTCTGTTAGCATGTGGTATGCTATGATTGATGTTCATATGTCGTTCATGTTTGCATTCCAAAACTAAATCCCACTGGAGCAGGCTGTATAATATCTTCTATATGCTCTTGAATTCAGATTGCTGGCATTTTTAAATGATTTTTTTGCATCAATATTTGTCAGGTTTATTTATCTAGTTTCCTTTCTTGTCCAGCTTTGGTATTAAGATAATGGGGTCCTCAAAGAGTAAGTGTGGTAGTATTCCCCATTGTTGGAATTTTAAAAGTGTTTTTAAGTAATTGGCATTATTTCTTCTTTTAACGTTTGTTAGAATTCTCCAGTAAAGCTATTTGGTCCTGGACCTTTATTTGTTGGGATGTTTTTGATTATTGACTCATTCTCCTAATTGTTGGTTTGTTTAGATTCTTTATTTCTTCGTGATTCAATCTAGGTTAACCATATCTGTTCTGTTTACAACTAATATCTGTCCTTCCCTTCCCAACTGGAGGTAGTTAATCATTTATTTTTATAATTCCTTTTTTGTGGTACTAGGGATTGAACTCAGAGCCTCACACGTGATAGGCAAGTGCTCTATCACTAAGCCACATTTCCAGCTCCTGGAGATTGTCATTTTAACAACTATAGGGAATTACATGTCTGATAGAGTCATTCTAGATGTTTAACAACTCTCTGGTTACAACTTAGATCTAACCATCTGTTTCAGAAGTGGCTGCAATTCATTGAGCACCTACTGTGTGAAAAGCATTTGGCATCCATTACTTTTCATATTGCTATATTCTTGGAAAGGAGATGTCTGATATCATCGGACTGATAGGGAAATAGGAAATAAAAACAACTGACATCTTAACATCTTCAGAGTTATGTAATTTATAATTAATGGTGCCTCAGTTTTATTGGCAACACTTTTACTTAATGATATACAAAATAATGGCACCTGTATAATTCATAGTGTTTTTGATTTGGTCATGTTTTAGAAATTTGATGATAATTGTAGGCTAAATATGCTCTTCTCTAAAGTTTGTCTTTACCCTAGTGAAAAGGATGGTCCTTCATCAGGGAGGACATCGTCTTAGATAAAGTTCACAGGTTTTTAGGGAAATATATTCATGAGGTAATAAAGACATACCCACCTAGCTAGCCCAATATCATGTGATCATCAACAGAAGAGCAGGCATAGTAGTCAGAGCCAGTTCTAATTCCACTGTTATGCTGCTTTTCTCAAAATTCTATCCTTTGCTGTTCATATGATACATTCAGCTCATTTCTAAGCAAACTCTCTTTACTATTGCCAATTAATGATATCCCATCCTATTAACCATAGAAGAAAATATGAATGTTCAGGAAGAAATAGCACATTTGGGAATTATAAAAAGAATAGCTTACGGAGACATCTAAAAGATTTTGTGAACATTTGCATATGCCTACCTGTTAGCCAGCAAAGATAAAATATTTTGATATCATTCATTATTGGTCATTGCTGTTTCTTTTCAACTTTCCACCAAGATAATTGAGATTAGACTTAGTGTAAGACTCTCTTGTTTAATGCTTATGTTCTGTATCTTTTAATTAAACATTACTTTCTATGCAGTCTTTAACACCTCTGTGTGAAGAGGACAACCAGGCCCAGGAAGTCATTAAGAAGCTGGAGAAGAGTATAACGTTCTTCAGCCAATGTGCAACTCGAGTAGCCAGTAGGGCCGAGATGTTGGGAGCCATTAATCAGGTAACTTTTGTCTATTCCTTTAGTTCAGCAAAAAATTAAAGGACTTATTTTCTCTGAGGCTATGGATTATACTTTCTTGGAAAAAGCTTTTAAAATACTTTGTTATATTAAGATAAGCATTTTTAATATATAAGAAATAGGAATACACAAATAAAAATGTAAAGAAATATTTATGCTAATATTAGGGGCAGTGACCATCATTATAAAAATTTTGTGATATATTCTTCTAGACACTCCCTTCATACTAGCTTATAATCTACCTCCATACAGTGTTATAATTTGTTTCCTTTTCATTCAACATATAGCACAGATAACTTTCCATGTGATATAAATATATACACACCTCTCCCCATTTTATGGTATTCTGTTGGTTAAATAGTTATGACTCATTTAACCAATTCCTTATATTTAATCATTTCTGGATGTTCTCAATATTTTGTTGTTACAAACAATGCTATAACAAATGTCCTTATACATGCATTTTTGTATACTTGCACATAGAGAAGTAGAATTTCAAAATTTTTTTGTGGGAAAATCTGAGAAGACTAAAATATATATACTAAACAGACTTGTTAAATATATTTTCTTAAGGCACTATTTAATTTTGGTGGTAGTTTTAGTTTGATCATTTGCTTTCCATTTGTATGTGTTAATTCCTTTTAACCCCTCACTGAGGATAATATTTTGTCTTATTTTTATTGAGGTTATGCATGCACATAGTTTTAAAAAAATGAAGTAGCTCTCTAAATCTTATCCAATTTTCCATACCTTAGTGCAACAACTTTAAACTCCTTGGGTCTATTTTATATTTCTAAATAACATGTTTATGCTGCAATTTCAGGATTTCTTTCTTTCTTTTTTCTTTTTTTTTGTCTGTTTGTTTGTTTTGTATTTGATTTGGATTTTTTGTTTTTGGTATTGGGGATTGAATCCAGGGTGCTCCACCACTGAGCTACAACCCTGCCCTTTGTATTTCTTATTTTGAGACAAGGCGTTACTAAATTGCAGAGGCTGGCCTGTAATTTGTAATCTTCCTGCCTCAGCCTCCCAACTCACTGGGATTATAGGTGTGCACCACCTCATCTGGCTAGTGATCTAGTTTCAGTTTTAGGTATCATCTGTTGCTTTCCTACTGTGAAGATGAATATGTAGTTCCTTTGTGAATCTCTGCCTCCTCACATACATCTTTTGCTGTGCCTCAGTCTATCATCAACCCCTCTTCTTTTGTGACCAACTTAAAACTCCATGGTCAAACACAGTTTTCACTACCTTACATGAACCTTCAACACTTTTCCCTTTCTTGTTTTGTTTTTCTTGTTTACAAACCCAACCTGTTTAAGTCCACTTCTTCATCTGCTCAGGGCAACATGGCTGGGAAATAGCACAAGCCCTGTGCTGACCAAGCCCTTGAATTTCATCATCACAAGCATCAATTGGGTCCTAGGGCTTCTCATCCTCACCCTCCCTCTCTCTTAAGTACTATCAATTTTCCACTGTCTCCTCTAACCCCCATTATGTCCTCCCCCATCATCTCTGTCAAATGATGATTTTGCATCCTACCTCACTGAGAAAACAGACAATAGAAAAAATTGCCACATACCCCAAACCACTAGTGTCTGAACCCATATATGCTGCTTTCTTTCCTGTTTCGAAGACACCAAGTTGTCTCCCATCTTATATATACAGGATCCCATCTCCTCTAATTAGGGGTACATAGGTCTCAGTTCWCCCAACTTGCTTCTGTTGTAGGAATCAGACTGGTCAAGAAGCAGCAAATGATGGGCCCAGAGGAGATCAGACTCCAAATTCTGAGCCCCGCCCCTCCAGTTTTTTACATTCATAAGCTATCTGGTGCCATAGCATTCCTAGTCTACAAGATAATGGTCCTGCATAGGGTTTCTAAAGGGAAACCGAGTGTGATAAGGGGAAAAACTGGCCCCTCTCACAAGGCCTTTGATACATCTCTAGCCTTGGGCCAGAAGCCTCCACAGGGAGGCTTACACTTCAAAGGGGAATAATGAGATTCTTAGAGGTAGTTATTTACAATCCAAAGGTAGGGGCCTAAGGTGTTAATTAGGTTTCCTGAAAAAGGGCTGAATGAAAGGGGAGGGAACTCTCCCTTTCCCAGGCCCTAGCTTTCAGGACAGTGTTCTAATAGTTTATTTTACATCCAGGCCTGGTTTTGTCAGCCATCCTCCCTCCATCTGCAGTTTTTCCCTTTTTATGGAATCATTCTCCTCAGCACACATGTGTGTTGTTGTTAAGATGGAGAGGTGCTAGGGTTTATCTGTGGTGGAGTGCTTGCTTAGCATAGGGGAGGTTCTGGGTTCCACTCCCAGGACCCCCAAAATAAATAAGTAAATAAAATTGTTTTAAAAAATAGAGAAGATACAAACTAAATATAAACAGAAAGACCTTTTTGGTCCTTTCTCCTTTGACTACCACCCCGTTTCTCTGTTCCCATTTATAGCAAATCTCTTCCATGGAACAATACTCATTGTGCCAGGTCTCTTTCCTCCCATTCTCTTCTAAATCTCTAATCAACTTTATGCCTCCATCAAATGGTATTACCAAGGTCACCAAAGACCTGCAGGTTAATAAATTCAGTTTCTTAGCCCTCAGCTTCCTGAACCTATCAATACTCTTCTTTCTGTGGACACGCTCTTCTCATTTAGCTTTCAGATACTACATTATTCTGGCTTTTCTCTTTGTATCATGGGCTGCTTTATTCTGGGCTGGTTTGTGGGTCCACACCTTCTCACAGGCATCTTGATGCTGAAGAACTGCACAACTCCATTCTTGCTGCTGACCTCCACCTATACTGTAGCCTCTTATGGTCCCAGGCAGCCAACTCATGACTCCCAGATTCCTGTTTGCCTAAACCTTTTTCCTGAGTTCCAGATCAGAATACACTATTATGACTCAATACTTCCACTTGGACATTAGATAAACAGCTCACACTTAACATATCCAAAACTAAGATCCAAACTCTGCCCCGCCCATCATATCCTGGCCTCAGACATGAGCACAGGACTAAACTCCCCTTGGGGGTAATTCTAGACACCTTTCTTGCTTTATTCTACATTCAATTTGATAGAACTTTGACTCTACCATCAGAACATACGTAGAATTCAAGCACTTATTTCCCTCTCATGACAACCACCTGGTTCTAAGCCACTGTTCTCTTCCTTCCAGAAGGACACAGTAACTTCCAAAATGGTCGTCTTAGTTTTCGCAAATCCCAGTACTTCCTCCCAACAGTCTATTTTTTAAAAATATTTTTTATTTGTTCTAATTGGTTATACATGACAGTAGAATGCATTTTGACACATCATATATAAATGGAGTATAACTTTTCATTTATCTGGTTGTACATGATGTAGAGTTACACAGGTCATGTAATCATATATGCACATAGGATAATATTGTTCAATCCATTCTACTCTCATTCCTACCCCCAGACTCCCTTCACCTCCCTGCATTCCCCTCTGTCTAATCCAAAGTACCTCTATTTTCCTCCCCACCTTATTGCAAATTAGCATCCAAAAATCAGAGATAACATTTGGCCTTTGGGTTTGGGGATAGGCTTATTTTGCTTAGCATAATATTCTTCAGTTCCATCCATTTACCAGCAACTGCCATAGTTTCATTCTTCTTTAAGTAACATTCCACTGTGTATATATACCACAGTTTCTTTATCCATTAATCTGTTGAAGGGCACCTAGATTGGTTCTATAGTTTAGCTATTGGGAATTGAGCTCCTATAAACATTGATGTGGCTGCATCATTATGGTATACTGATTTTAAATCCTTTGGATTTATGCCAAGGAGTGAGATAACTGGGTCAAATTTTCTGAGGAATCTCCATACTGCTTTCCAGAGTGGTGACTGATTTGCAGTCCCACAATGAATGTATGAGTGTATCTTTTCCCCCACATCCTCACCAACATTTATTGTTACTTGTATTCTTGATAATTGCCATCCTGACTGGAGTGAGATAAAATCTCAGTGTAGTTTTGGTTTTCATTTCCTTAATTGCTAGAGTTGTTAAACATTTTTACATGTATTTGTTGATCAGTTGTATTTCTTCTTCTGTGAAGTGTCTGTTCAGATCCTTAGCCCATTTATTGATTGGGTTATTTGTATTTTTGCTGTTAAGTTTTTTTGAGTTCTTTATATATCCTGGAGATTAATGCTCTATCTGAAGTGCAGCTAGCAAAGATTTTTCTCCCATTCTCTAGGCTCTCTCATCACATTCTTGATTTTTTTCCTTTGCTATGAAGAAGCTTTTTAGTTTGATACTATCCTGTTTATTGATTCATTTTACTTCTTGCGCTTTAGGAGTCTTGTTGAGGAATTTGGTTCCTAAGCTGACAAAAATGGAGATATGAGCCTACTTTTTCTTCTAGTAGGTGAAGGGTCTCTGGTCTAATGCCAAGGTCCTTGATCCACTTTGAGTTGAGTTTTGTGCAGGATGAGAGTTAGTTTCATTTTGCTACATTGGGATTTCCAGTTTTCCTAGCACCATTTTCTCTAATGTATGTTTTTGGTGACTTTGTCTATTATGAGATAACTGTATTTATGTGGGTTTGTCTCTGTCTATTCTGAACCAGTGGTCTTTATGTCTGTTTTGTTGCAATACCATGTCAGTTTTGTTACTCTAGCTCTGTAGTATAATTTAAGGTCTGGTATTGTGAAGCCTCCTACTTTACTTTTCTTGCTAAAGATTGCTTTTCCTATTCTGGGACTCTTAGATTTCCAAATGAATTTCATGACTACTTTTTCTATTTCTATGAAGAGCATCATTGAAATTTTAATAGAAATTGTCTTAAATATATATAGCACTTAAGGTAATATGTACATTTTGACAATATTAATGCTGCCTATCCAAGAACATGGGAAATCTTTCCATCTTCTAAGGTCTTCTTCAATTTTTCCTTTAGTGATTTTTAGTTTTTATTGTAAAAGTCTTTCACCTCTCTTGTTAGATTTTTTTCCAAGGATTTATTAATTTTTTGAGGCTATTGTAAATGGGATAATTTTTCTAATTTCTCTTTCAGTTGATTCATCACTGATGTATAGGAATGCAATTGATTTATGGATGTTAATTTCTATTCTCTATTTTGCTGAATTCAATATGAGTTATAGAAGTTTTCTGGTGGAGATTTTGGGTCTCTAAGTATAGAATAATGTCATCTGCAAATAGGGATAGTTTGAGCTCTTCTTTTCCTATTCACATCCCTTTACTTTCTTTCTTTTGTCTAATTGCTCTGGCTAGAGTTTCAAGGACTATGTTGAATAAAAGTGGTAAAAGAGGGCATCCCTGTCTTGTTTCAGTTTTTAGAGGGAATTCTTTCAATTTTTCTCCATTTAAAATGATGTTGGCCTTGGGCTTAACATAGATAACTTTTATAACCTTTAGGTAAATTCCTACTATTCCTAGTTTTTCTGATGTTTTGAACATAAATGAACTATAGCACTATACTTTATCAAATGCCTTTTCTGATTTTGTTGAGAAAATCATGTGATTCTTGTCTTTAAGCCTATTGTTGTGATGAATTATGTTTATTGATTTCCACACGTTGAACCAACCTTGCATCCCTGGGATGAACTATACTTAATCATGGTACACTGTCTTTTTAATATGTTTTGTATGCAATTTGCCAGAATCAAGAATTGAGAATGAGAATTTTTGCTTCTGTGTTCGTCAGGGATATTGATCTGAAGTTTTCTTTCCTTGATGTATCTTTATCTGATTTGGGTATCAAGGTGATGCTAGCTTCAGAGAATGAGTTTGGAAGGGTTCCCTCCTTTTCTGTTTCATAGAATAATTTGAAGAAGATTGGTGATAGTTCTTCTTTGAAAGTTTAGCAGAACTTAGCTGACAATCTGTCTGGTCCTGAGCTTTTCTTTGTTGGTAGGCTTTTGATGGCATCTTCAATTTCATTGCTTAAATTGATGTGTTTGAATTTTTACTACGTCCTCCTGATTCAATTTGTATAGGTCATATGTCTCTAGAAATTTTTCAATGTCAAGATTTTCTATTTTATTAGACTATAAATTTTCAAAATAGTTTCTGGTTATTTTGATTATTTTAGTAGTGTTCATTTTGACACCTCATTTTTTATCACAAATTTTATTAATTTGAGTTTTCTCTATTTCTCTTCATTAGCTTGACTAAGGGTTTATCAATTTTATTGATTTTTTTTCAAAGAACTGACTTTTTGTTTTGTCTTTTTTTGGATTTTTTGTTTCAATTTCATTGATTTTGGTTCTGATTTTATTTGGTGTTGATTTGTTCTTCTTTTTCTAGGGCTTTGGGATGCAATGTTGGTTATTTATTTGGTGACTTTCTAGTCTTCTAATTAGTGAGCTCAATGCAGTGAACTTTCCTCTTAGCACTTACTTCATAGCTTCCCAGAGATTTTGGTAAGCTGTATCTCTATTTTCATTTACCTCTAAGTATTTTTTATTTCATCACTGATTTATTCTGTTATCAAGGTCATTCAATTGCATATTGTTTAGTCTTCATGTGATAGTGTAGCTTCTACTTTTTATTTTATCATTGATTTCTAATTCCATTCCATTATGACATAATCCAAAGCAAAGTATTCTTTTTCTTTGTATTTGCTAAGAGTTGCTTTGTGGCCTATGATATGATCTATTTTAAAGAAAGATCCATGTGCTTCTGAGAAGAAAGTGTATTCAGTCCTATATGGTTCAAACATTATATGTCTAAATAATATTTTTTAGTTCTATAATGTCTTTGTTAACTTTCGTTTGGAGGATCAATACAGGGTGAGAGAGGTTTGTTGAAGTCACCCATCATTATTGTGTTGTAGTCTATTTGATTCCTGAAATTGAGAAGGGATTGTTTTGGTGTACATCAATGCTGCATTTGGGGGGCATAAATATTTATGATTGCTATGTCTTGTTGATATATAATTCTCTTAAGCAGCATTAAATGTACTTCTTTGTCCCTTCAAGTCCACTTTAAGTGGCTTCAAGTCCACTTTATCTGATATGAAGATAGAGACTCCTACTGGTTTAGAGTTCCTTATGAATGATATGGGTTTTTTCCCTCATTCTTTTAACCTTAAGTATATTTTTGCCTATGAAGTGAGTCTTTCAGAGACAGCATATTGTTGGGTCTTATTTTTTCAATCCAATCTGCTAGTCTATGTCTTTTGATGGATGAGTTTAGGCCATTTGTATTCAATGTTATTATTGAGAAATTTTTATTCCCTGTCATTTTGATTTCTTTCTGGTTTTTAATTTGAATTAGCTTCTGCTTTGATTGCCTGTTCTTCTAGTGTAGTTCTTCTCTCTGCTGGTTTTCACATTTATTTTTCATTTCTTCTTCATGACATATTTTATTGAGTATGCTTTGTAGTATATGTTTTCTAGTTGTGGATTCTTTTAACTTTTGTTTATCATGGAAGATTTTTATTTCATAATCCATTCTGAAGCTTAATTTTGCTGGACATAGTATTCTTGGGTGGCATCCATTTTCTTTCAGAGCTTGATATATATTATTCCAAGCACTCCTAGCTTTGAGGGTCTGGGTTGAGAAATCATCTGAGATCGAGATTGGTTTACCTCAAAATGTTACTTGTCATTTTTCTCTGGCAGATTTTAAAATTATATCCTTATTCTGTATGTTAGGCATTTTCCTAATAATGTGCTTTGGTGTGGGTCTGTTGCAATTTTTTTTTAAATATTTGGAGTCCTGCAAGCCTCTGTATTTGAATTTCCATTTCATTCTTTAGGTTTAGGAAATTTTGTGATATTATTTTATTGAAAATATTGTGTATTCCTTTGGTTTGTATCTCTGAGACTTCAACTATCCCTGTAAATCTTAAATGCTTTTTTGGTTTCATGCCACTGAGCTACCAGGAAAACAACCTTCTTTATCCTGCCATCTGGAAACCTCCCTCAGAAATTTTTTCTAATTGACTTTTCTACATTGTTGAATTTTCCCCCCATACTCTTAATTCTTCCCTGTTCTTTGTTGGATCTCCTGAACTGGTCCTCTCTAAGCTAACTCAGTCTTTTTTCTCTAGTTTTAGAGAGACTTCAACTTTATCTTGAAACATTTTTTTTTACGTATTTTTAATTTCCAGAAACACTAATGTCCCAAATGTTCCTTTTAAATATCTTGTTCTTATTCTGTGGATGCAACAATTATTCTTAACTCTTTGAAGATATTGATGGTTTCCTTGATGCTTTAGTTTCTTGCAGACCGATCCTCTGTTGTGTGTTTTGGCCCATATCTTGTGCTCCACTGTGGAGCTAATTGGAAGCTCTATGTTGAATGGGGCAAAATTCTTGATTTTGAGCTTTACAGAAACTAGAATGCTTCATTGGGGTACCAATGTCTGTACTTAAGAACTTTCATGTTGGGAAGTTGGGTTCTCCAGAAAAAAATYTACCAGCTCCCTGCCTGAGGGTAGAACCCTGGGTGCCAGTGTTAGGAACTAGTAAGAGGAATAAGGTYGAGAGAACTCAGAACCTACATGTACCCAGACTTTTGTGTATATCCATGTGATAGTCTTCACCAACTCTCTGTATAATCCCAATTCACAGAACCTTTGTTTACCTCTCTCTAGATATTCAACCTGATTATCTTTCACCACAGTGGTTATAGGGAAGGTGCTCTGCTGGCTCTGTCATGTTTTCAGATTCCAACTATCTTCATGCTCACATGTCTATCTTCAGCTCTACTTCTAGAGGCACCAGTCTTAAGCCTTTGAGACTTTGTGGCACAACCTAGGTTGCTTCTAGCTCCTTTTTATATCCTGTTTCAGGGTCCAGCTTTCTCAGGTCTTAGTCATTTAGCATGAATCCTTTTACTTTCCTGCTTTCAAAATGTTGCTATTATAACCTCTTCTGTTTGCCCTTGTAGACTCATCTCTTCTTAAAAAATACCTTTGACATTTTAGTTGGATTTAGAGATGGAGTGAAGGTAAATGCATGTGTTTAATCCCCATCTTTTAATTGAGTGTTAAGAAAAGTATTTTCAATGTAAATTTGCTCTTTTCCTACTAGGAAAGCCGGGTTAGTAAAGCAGTTGAAGTGATGATTCAGCATGTAGAAAACTTGAAGAGAATGTATGCCAAAGAGCATGCTGAATTAGAAGAACTGAAACAGGTTCTCTTGCAGAATGAAAGGTCTTTTAACCCTCTTGAAGATGAAGGTAATAAAACTTGAAGATCACAGTGTTAGTTACATTTTTCTATCATTCTCTTCTTTCATACTCTTACTGTATTGTGTGTTTAGAGTAAGATCCTTAGGTAAGACTATATTGGAAAAATAACTTACTCCTATTATTTATATAGACAAAAGTAAAGTGTCAGAAAATAGATTAGAAGCCACAAAGGATTTCATTGATAATGACACAAAAAATTTACTAAATCAATTTAGATTGCTGAGATGAGAGAATATATTTAATCTACTATATTGACAGTAGTTGTCTTTTCAGGATATGTAAGAATTGGCTCTTTTTCCACACATAAGTAAGATACAATAGCTTAAATGAGCCACTCTCATCAATAATGATTTTGAATTCCTCAGAGGAGGAAAGATCTTGGTTTTCAAAAAGCCAACTGATTGGAAAATGGACAGATGAGGCCATGGGAAATATTTTAACATATAGTTTTTATAAATCTTATAATGATTTTTTCATTAAACAGTGTGAACATTTCTAAGTAGAATTCTTATTTTACTGATGTTCCTTCTGGAAATGTAATCATATTTGATGCTCTTCTAATCTGCACTCATGGATTCCTTTATTCAGCAGACAGTCCTTTTGTGGCTGCCATGTGCTTGTAGGCTTTGTGAACATGTACAGTGACATGGAAGACTGTTTTCCATTGGTGAAGATGGCAATTGTTGTGAATCGCCAAATAAATGATAAACGGTTTTTATATTGCTCAATAGTCTCTAGAGTCTTAAATATTTTCTGACCTTTGCTTTACTTGTAAAAAATGAAAACAACTGTTTTAACATTAATCGCATGTGTGATTTCTAACATGTGCAAATATTTTTCCTTGTAGATGACTGCCAGATTAAAAAACGTTCAGCTTCTCTGAACTCCAAGGTAATCACTAATTCACTTGATAAATCATTTAATGAATATATTATAACCAAAATGGCTTTAAAATATTCTTTGAAGTTATGTGCCTTTAAGTGTAAACCACAAATCAGTGATTATATTCATATGCATGTTTTATGTGTGACTTTATTTAGATATAGTTTAGAAAGTATGTTTTTATACTTCCTGCTTTATTTGGATATCAATCAAGTTTGTCTGGCAATATGAGAAAAGCCAGTTTTGCAATATTTTCTGTCATATGAACCAAATTTGGAAATAGGCAATGTGATAGTAGTAAGGCATACTGACAAAATCCTCCTTTCTTGCTGCTTTGCTACCTTCAGCCCTTGGCTTCATCCTCATGTAAATTTGCTACTTTAGATCCAGTCACCAACGCCTCACCATTATGTCGAGTCATTGCAAGGAAATAAAAGAATCAAAGACCAGCATTTCCTCTACCTGAAAAGACCCTTTTTAAAGTCCACCATGGCATTTCTCTTTCCATCCATGGTGAAAAAGTAAACTAGAAAATATGGTTTTTCCTCTGGAAGTTATATGCCTTGTTAAAAAATCAGTCTTATAATAAGGAGAGGAGAATAGGATATTGAAGATCAGTTAGTGGTTTTTACCACAGCTTCAATATTTTGAGCAAGTGACTTTAAATTTTTCCATTTAAATATTTTTCAGAGAAACACAGAAAGTGATGAGAAACCAGATTGCTCAAACTGGAATTTGATAATCTTGGGGTGCTCAACTAACCAGTGAAATTCAATTACAGATGACAGTTTAAGAACTCACAAGAAACCTCTTAGTTTATTTACTGCATTTAAAATATTTTTACATCTTTTAAGTTGCATTTAATTAAACCACATAATACTAAATATTATTTCCAGCACAAGTCTCAAGGCAGATATATAAACACATCTATTCTTTAAAATATCATGAAAACTTACTCTTGTAGAATCAAAAAAACTGTGATCTCACAAAAGTTGAAAGTGGAATGTGGTTACCAGAGACTGTGGAGAATGGGTGAGGGGTGTTGATCAATAGGCACTAAGCTACAGTTAGATAGGAGCAAGAAGTTCCAGTGTGTGGTTGCACAGTAGGGAGACTATAGCTAACAGAAAAGTACAGTGCATTTCAAAAACTAAAGGATTTTTGAAAATTTTCACCATCAAGGAAGGATGTTTAAGGAGACAGTTTAACCTGATTTAAAAATTACATAATACGTACAAGCATCAAAACATTGCTTTTTCTTGTGTATATGTATAATCTTTATGTAACAGTTAAATTTAATTAAAAAATCATGAAATCCTAAGTATATTTTAAAAAATGAAATTAAAGAAACCATAACTGTAGATGCCTATTTATCTCCTCTTGAATTAGGAAACTATTTTTAAGCATAAAAACAAAGATAACAAAACAGAAGAATGCATTTGGCTGGACTAACAATGAAAACATTTTCTTCCATAGAAATAAAACATGAGCAAAGGTCACAGGCATAAACAAGCCATTCTCAGAACAAATATGTACTTCCAACATAGGAAAACAACACTCCATGTTACTAGGAGCCAAATAAATGAAAACTCAAGAAGTTTTATATCCCTTGTCTTATTGGCAAGGATTATAATCAGTATTGGAGAAAGTAGAATATAAATTGGCAAAATATTTCTGAAATGCAATTTGCCCATAAAAAATCTTTTAGAATGTCTCCTGTTCAACTCAGTAGTGGTTAAGGGTATAGATGTGTATATTACATGCATATGTATCAGTGTTGTATGTAGGAACAAATATTGAGAATTTTCTAAATGTACACTTATCCCCTTTGGGTAGCCATCTTCTCTACGAAGAGTGACTATTGCTTCTTTACCCAGAAATATTGGAAATGCAGCAATGGTAAGTGTTCTTAATCAAAAGCACATTCATTTTTATGTAACAAAATATAACTTCACTAAATACATATTATTGTTTAACATCTGAAATTCTAAAGGTTGCTGGGATGGAAAATAATGACAGATTCAGCAGGAGGTCCAGCAGTTGGTGAGTGTGATTTTTGTGGTTTCACTTTTGGAACCTCACTGTTTTATAATGGGGTAAAGTAAATAAGCACTTGAAATAGTAGTGCAACTTCTAATTTGTCCAGAGCATAAATAAATATAAAAAAACTGGCATATGTTGATTTTTATTAAGAAATAAAAGAGTTTTGTGAATGTGCCAAGGAAAAAATTAGAAAATGTAATTTTTGTTTTGATTTAAACTGTAGGAAATAATTTACAATGGCTACAGATATGTTTATTTTGATATGTGGCTATTGTCTTCTTTGTTTAGGCGTATTTTGGGGTCAAAGCAGAGTGAACACCGTCCCTCATTACATCGATTTATTAGCACCTATTCCTGGGCAGATGCTGAAGATGAAAAATGTGAACTGAAGTAAGTCCATTTACTAACATGACATAAGCTGGGGCATAACAATGGGGACCATAGTAGTTCCATGGAAATGAGATTGATGCTGCCTCAAAAATATAGTTAATTGTGGAAGATTTTTATCACCCCTAAAGCACTCTATGAAAATTATCTGTGAATACATTCACTCTTTTAGCATCACAATGGGAAGGCTTGTGGTTAGAAAAATCCTTAAAATTTGTCCAATTGGCAAAGATCATTTTTTTTTCCTGTTTAGGTGTTTGTCCTTGGGGAAAAGTCAATAAAGAGCCACAGAAGTAAAATCTTCATCTAATTAGATTTTTAAAAAATTATACTGTATGCTGTTTAAATACATAAAATGAATCCCACTATCCTGCATAATTACAATGTACCAATTAAATTTTTAGAACATGAAGTGTGTGTGTGTGTGTGTGTGTGTGTGTGTGTATGTTCATGAAAGATAGGAATATATGTGCCTCCATCCATTTATATAAATGAAGAGGAGGGAAATTAAACTATACTATTGTCTCTATATCCAGCAAATTAAACAAAATATACTGTTTACTTCTATAGTGAAGGTAGAGGACAAGGAGGAGGAAAGTGAAGAAATGCTGCCTCTGTCCTTGGAAGGCAGCAAACTGCTTAAGATTACTTGTTCTTAGTTTTCTCATTTRTTAGTTGAGAGATCTTAATGAAATATTTTATGGTCATTTTGAAATACCTCCCATGGGATTATCCTCAATCCTAAACAATATAAAGACAATCTGACATTGTTGCCTACCCTCAGATTCTTTTTATTTTTCTAACTCCTGGGAGCCTGTTACAAACAGGGTGGGGAAAAAAGAGGTTCCTTCAAAAGATTGAAAACTAAGTCTTTATAAACAAAATATTGGTTCATGGAGAAAATTATAATTGATTTTGCCTTTKGGGCCTTGTTTCCTTTATATTTCCTGTAGATGTGTGACTGGAAAAAAATTTTTAAAAATTAAAACAGTTTCCTTTGGCAATTGTGAGGGCATAACATATTTAGGATTTAAAAGTTCAAATCCAGCTAGGAACCTTTAGTGAACATTATAATCATAAAACAATTAGGTTTCATTCAGGTGCAGGAAATATAGTCAAGTCATATGCTATTCTCCAGTACATTGAATATTAGTTTAATTAGCTTAGCATTGAAAATGTTTTCATGAACATTTTAAGATTTTCAGATAAGGAGAAGAAATGACACTTCATTTTACTCCAAGCAATGAGAAATTTTTTCACCATATTTCAAATGAAAAAAATTATAGGTCATTTATCCTCTTTGTAAAGTATGATTAAAGATAATATCTATATCTATATATCTATCTATCTACATATATATGATGTAAGTTAAGAAAGAAATTGCAGTGATAACATTAGTTAATTATATGTTTTTGTCTATTTCTTTGTTTTGTGTGCCTTGGTTATTATCTCTGCTTTTTATATGAGCATTTACTATTTTTTTATATAGAAGTTATTTTATCACCAAATTTATAGAAATTTAATTTTTGGATATCAAATCTTCATTAAGCAAGACAAATATTCATGCACCCCTTGAGTTACACAGCAAATCAGCAATATTTTATAGGTTATAGCATATTATAATTAGTTTCAATATTTAAAAACAATATTTATTCACAGAACTAAAGATGACTCAGAACCTCCTGAAGAAGAAATAGTAGAAAGAACAAGGAAGACAAGCCTTTCTGAAAAGAAAACTAATCCATCAAAGTGGGACATCTCTTCCATGTAAGTTGCCTGCTTGCTAAATGATACCACATGAGGGGGAAAGGGAAAGGCAGGATCAATAGTCCTAATCCAATTCCTTTACTAAAAGACATGCCAAATTGTTCAATATAAGATGAATAACAAACTTAACAAACTTTATATGATCTACTACAATAGTTATCCCTGAACATATTTTACAAGAGGCAGAAGAGTTGACAATGTTAGGAACTTAATTCTGAAACCAGATAGCCTAGGCTCAAATTTCAGCTCTCTCACTAGCTGTTTGACCTGGGCAAGTACATCCATTTGTAAGCACTGATGTCTTCATTTGGGAAATTGAGATGACAGCAGTACCTATGTCACTGTGTTGTCCTAATTAAATGAACTGTCACCTCTAAGATGCTTAGTTTCTTGTATTTCTAAAAAATAATTTTAGTGAGAAATGAGATGTATATATACACATATATAAGACCATAAACATACAACCTGTTCTACCAAGTAAATATTTTGGTTCTACTGCAGGAGTAAAAGTTGCTTTACCTGATTGAAAGAATAAGTTGAATATGTGTATGTACTTTTTAGGAGTTAATACCTAAACCACATAATTTCCAGGTTCTCAGCAGAGCATGTGTAATTCTAAGGGGCAATGGGGGGGGCACATTGTGCCCCAAACCAAGAGGATACATCATAGGGCAGCATTGTAGTGTGGAGGTCAGATCAATGACTTAATTAGTGCTGTTAGCAAAACGAGTGTTTCTAATAACAAATAATTATGCTTACCCATGTCTTTTTGTGTTTTCCTCATAGTTATGACACAATAGCTTCCTGGGCAACAAATCTCAAGACTTCCATCAGGAAGGCTAACAAGGCCTTCTGGATTTCTGTGGTGTTCATTGTACTGTTTGCAGCTCTGATGAGCTTCCTCACAGGCCGATTTTTCCAAAAATCTGTGGATGCTGCCCCCACACAGGAAGGGGACTCCTGGCTATCTCTAGAACATATCTTGTGGCCATTTACCAGCCTCTGCCACAATGGGCCACCACCAGTGTGACCAGTGATCCAGTGACCAGTGAATCACCAGTGTGATGTAGTGCATCCTGATATCTTGATTTTTAATGTTTCAGTATCTGAACTTAATAAATTAGTAACTTTTAGTTGGGAAAGTATAGTACAAAACCAGAGGTTCTTAGAACAACTGTAAAATGTTTTACATTCCCATTTTTTGCAATCACCCTCCCAACTAAACTAAAGGGAGGAGAATTTGCCTATATTTTAATGAGCTCTTTGAGAAAGAAATATATATTGTTTTGCTAAAACTTATCTAAATAAAGATCCATTTAAATCTTCATACAGTGAAAGCTGAAATTCTCAATAGCCCAAAGAAAAAAGCCTACTTTGTTTAAAATAAAATTTGAATATAAAATACTATTCAATAATTTTAATAGCCTATTTTAAAATTATTCACTTTGAAAAATACCTGATTGTTTTCCCCAAACTTGTTTGATTCTTCACATTGAATAGTTTGCAAGTAGAGATTTAAGAATAACTGAGAAATCTAATAGAGAGTAGCATATGACAAACAGAGTCAATAAACAGGCAGTTGGAATTATTGATTTTCTCCATTGCTTCCCTGGAAGCAACATCCTTCAACATGTGATATAGAGTGGAATGAAACTCAGTTCCTTCTTTAAGTGCTTCTGAGTATGAATCACTGTTTTCATCCATCTTGAGTCTTTGTGCTCTGTCACCACTAAACATTAAAAGGACCCACTTAGGATTCTCAATAAGCTCTTCAGTTGGTTGTTCCCTTGCCTAAAGAAAATTAGCAAAATCTGTTAGCAGTTCTTCTATATTTATGGAGCTTATTCACATTAATTGAGGCAAAAATATTGAGTGCCTATCATGTTCCAGGTACTGTTCTAGGTGGTGGGGATGTAACAGTGAAATGCAGGGGGGAGATAACCTACATATATTAATAACTGGAGCAACAAAACTCTGCCCTCAAGGAGCTTATATTTGAGTGAAGGAAATAAGAATAATAATTTGTGCTAAAATATTCATCAGGGACTGGGAGTGTAGCTCAATGGTAGAATTTACTTGCCTAGTATGCATGAGGCCCTGAATTTGATCCCCAGGACTTTTAACTTTTAGGATTTGATATACTGTATCTGTCAGACAATAGTAAATGTGTCAGTAGAAAGTTAAATTGGAAGCTTAATCCTCTCGGGAGCCTGTGAAATATATATATAATTTATTTCCCCAGATTCGTTTTTAGCTAAATTCTTCACTTTCAAGCTTTATTTATGTCTGACCTCCTGAGTCCTCCTTCCCAGCACCCTCCTCGATACTATACACTGCCCAACCCCACTATTCCTGTTTTTTTCTTTTTACATAACACTTTTCACCTTTTGAATGTGTGTGTGTGTGTATACACACACACACACACACATATATATATTATATATATATAATGTTATATATATATTATATATAATATATATAATATATATATATATATTATATATATAATGTTAAAGGCTTTCATTTGTTTTTAAATCAATGTAAAGAGCACTCGCTTAGCACACTCGAGGCCCTGGGTTCGATCCTCAGCACTGCATAAAAACAAATAAACAAAATAAACATATTGTGTACAACTAAAAAATAAATATATGAAGTCATAATAAGTATATGAAGTCATGAACATTTGATACCATAATGGACCACAAAGTCATTACCTTTAAATAGGTAGGTCTTATATTTTTGAAGGTTGATTTTATTAACCTTTGTAAGAGGAGAAGTGCTAAAATATTCATCAGGGACTGGGAGTGTAGCTCAATGGTAGAATTTACTTGCCTAGTATGAGTACCTAGTTACCTAGTTTTTGAGTACCTATTTTGGAAAACAAAGTTTTATGGGCTTTGCATACTATACCTTAAATATAACTTTTGTAGTATTACATACTATATTCCACTTGCTCCAACCAAATGCAAAAGCAGAACTTAGCAGGGCCATTTGTCGATAAGCTCTCATTTCTACTGATGGATTCTGTAAATACAAACAGAACTGACCTTGGAGCCTCCCAACAAATCTCCCTTCCATCCTTAACACATAAGGATTCATTTAAAGATTTAAGTCAGATTATATGACTTCTCTATTAAAATTTAACAGTGGATTTCTTCCCTTTCTGAGTAGAATCCAAAGTTGTTGATGTCTACACAGGTCCTCTGTGATCTGCCTCTACCACTACATATACCCCCCCCCATCAGCTATCTGGCCTTATCTCCTCCTCTTCCTTTGCTCTCTCAGTTCCAGGCTCCTTGCTGCTGGTCCAGTCCTGGCTATTCCTTCAGGGTTATTGCTCCAGCTGTTCTCTCTGCCTGGAAGCTGTTTCCCCAGATCCATTTTTAGCTAAATTCCACACCGTCAAGCTTTACTCATGTCTGACCTCCTGAGTCTTCCTTCCCAGCACCCTCCTTGATACTGTACACTGCCCAACCCTACTATTCCTTATCTGTTTTTTTTTCCTTTTTACATAACACTTTTCACCTTTTTAATTTACATGACCATCCTATTTTCCTTTCCCTCTAAAGAATATAAGCTTTAAAGGGGCAGGGGGCTTTGGTTTACTCATTTTTCCTAATATTTAAATCAATGCCCCTACCATATAAGTGTTCAGGAAAAAAAATTGACTATTCTGAAAACAAATAGGATACCACATTTGTCATAGTAGTTACTACAGGTAATTTGAGTTAACATTTTTTTCTATGCATACAGTTAGATACCTTTTGCTAGATGAGTATTGCCAAATGTTATATAAATGGCTACATATTTTGTTTACTATTTTCTAGGGTATTCATAAACACATTCTGAAGCATGTAACTCTTCTGCCTACAAAGACATTTATTACAAAGACAATTTATTAGAAGCACTTGTGTCTTCATATATTACAACTGTTTACTAAGCATTTTATTCTAGGAATATGCTAGGTGCTAGAAGAACCAAAATTATTAAAAAAACAAAACAAAACAAAAAAACAGCTGCTGTCCTCGTGGCTGTCCCAGGTTAGTGTGGAGGGATCTTATTTAAACCCTGTGAATAACAGAAAGGAGCACATAGACATGGAGGCTCTTCCAAGAAACCAAGGAAAGTGGCTTGGTATATTAAAGGGCTTTTTATATGTTTAATTTTGTCTGTGTTTGAGACAGTGCAGAGTTACTCTCTTAAGAAATCTTAATAGTCATGGAAAAAGAAAGAAAATATGCGAAATGAGAAGTAGCCTGGACAGTTTTTGCACTAAACTGACAGGCCATGATGTGCTATACTTGCCAATATGAAGATCATGCTATAGATTTAATTCTTGGGGGAGATTATTACATACTTGAGAAGACTCTGGACGTCTCATTTCTTCACTTATTCTTTCTAAATTTAATCCTGTGTAGCTGAATCTATAAAACTCACATTGTACCTTAGGACTTATATTAAATTAAATATTYGCCAACATTCTAAATTTACGCTACATTAAATTTGGAAAGATTCCTTCATACCTTATTGTTTGTAACAACATAAAAATGAGAGTGTCCCGATGGGAAGATATTCAATCCAGCTTCTTTCAGAGCAAAAATGAAAGATATAGGACTCATCCATTTTCCTTCCAAATTAGAAACATGTTCTTTGTCTTTTATTTTGATTGAAATTAACATGCAGAGGTTTTCCTGATTTAAAATAAGAAAAAGAAAAACTTTGATAGAAAGTGAAAGAAATTACTCCAGTACCATTCCAGGTCCAGTCCTTATGTTCATTCTGTAGATTTTTTTTAAACCTACCAGTATATTAAAAAGACTGCAGGGCAGGTATGTTTTAGATCTAATCTGAAATGGTACCACAAAGTCCCCATGTTACCTTAAATCAATTTACTCTCTATAGGCTTCATTTGAATAATCAATTGGACTACAATTGACTCAAATCCTCTCCTATTTTATGTTATCATATGAAAATATAAAGTATGTTCACATTGAAATTAAAACAGCTACAAAAGCCAGGCAGGTGCATGCCTATAATCCCAGCTGCTCAGGAAGCTGAGACAAGAGGATTGTGAGTTCAAAGCCAACCTGAGGAACACAGAGGCACTAAGCAACTCAGTGAGAACATGTTTCTAAATGAAACACAAAATAGGGCTGGGGATGTGGCTCAGTGGTTGAGTGTCCCCAAGCTCAATCCCCAGTACCAAAAACAAACAAACAAAAAAGCAAAAAACTATGAAACCACGATTGTAATCTTAGAGATTAATCTTAATTATTTAACATGTGAAAATTAAGGATATAAATCCACCAGTTTTAAGGTTTGGCAAACTGGAAATTTGAAGATTAAGTATAGAGTTCACATCTCAAAAGTTTTTTCCTAAAGTTTATTATATCCTATTTAGCCCAATATGTCTAAAATATTTCAATACATAATCAGTATAAAACTATTGAGACAATTTGCATTTTTATACTAAGTATTCAAAATCTGATATGTATTTTACAACTATAGCACATGTTAATTTGGACTAATCACATTTCAGGAGCTCAATAGAATAACTAGTCCATTATATAGTACAGATGTTCCTTTAAAATCTGACTTGAAAATGCACTCTACAACCCTTGGCATTTCAGCCTTCATATTAAAAAATGGACACTGAAAGTGTTCATAATTTTCCATCAGCCTAGAGTAAGAGTATGCTCAGGAATCTTCAGTGCTGCTGGGATGGCATAAGCACAGTAGCACCAGATGGGTTGGAAGCCCTGACAGGAAGCCCCCATTATAACCCTCTATGCAATCTTAGGAAGGTCACTTAACCTCCTGATGCCTTGGGCCTCAGTTTACCCCCATATAAAATGTGATGATGTATCAGAAATATTTTAAGGGCCATTACAGCATTGACAGTCCAGAGTGCTCTCTCATCCCATCTTGTTTTAAAAGCAAAGCTTGATAATATTTTGATTTTTCTACAACACTCATAAGGAAGTCTAAAGAATCTTAAAATAACTTCATTGAAATATATTTTACATATCACAAAATCCACTCATTTCACATATAGAATCCAATTATTTTTAGTAGTAAAACTATCACATAAATCAGTTTTAGAACATTTTCATCCCACCTAATAAAATCCCTTACACTAATTTTTAATTAATCTTCATTCTCAGCCCCAGGCAGCCACTAATCCACTTGTGGCTTTATAAATTTCAGGCTGTGTAATTTCTGACTGATAAGCAATAAGTCTCATTCAGAGGGAGACCTAATCCAA